AGTCAAAGTGTCTCTTTCCCCCCCTCCCCTTCCAAATCTATGTCTTTTTTTAAAGTCCAAGGAAGGTCTATTCAAATGCAAATCTCAGAGTAGTGGGTGAGGCTTAATCCTGCAATATTTGTATGACTGGGACCTTTGTTGGACAACTAGGGGTGGGAAGCCAATATTGGTAGGACTGAGAATTTGGAAACACTGGTAACTGTTAATCTGGATTATAACCTTTTGACTGCCCCAGTATTGTTTTCTGTGGTCTGTGAGCTATCACATTGGATTTTGAACCCAACAAAGCAGTAAGATTGGTGTTGAGATGAATAGGAAGAGGTATGGGAGACATGTCTGACTTCATGGGAATTGGTTTTGTGTTATTGATGCTGTTGATAAGGACAGTCCCCCTTCGTGAAGTTAGTAAAGGGTAGATATGGCCATCCACACAGTCCATGAGATATTCAATTCTCTTCTCCAACACCACAATTAGGAGGCATAGATTTTTCTTTAGTCTTTCTTATTCATTGCCCAACTTTCAAATACATAGGAAATAAATGAAAATACCATGGCTGGAATCAGGTGTACCTTAGTCTTTAAACTGACAAAGTGATGTGTTCTTTAGCACTTTAGAGTGGTCCGTGTTAGCATACTTTCTCAAAGCAACACACCTTTTGTTGTTTTGTTTTGTTTTTAAATTGGTTTGCAGAAAATCATTCATAGAAATTGTGTTCCATAGAATTAATTGCTATTAATCCAAGTTCCTCCTTAGAGACTAGGGTTTTAAGCTCCGTTTTATATACTTTGGGTATGTAGCCAGCAAGGTCTGGTCTTTGGAGAAGGTCATCATGCTTGGAAGGGTGGAGGGACAGCTCAGGAGAGGAAAACCCCAAATGAGATAGATTGGTACAGTAACTGGGGTAAAGTGCGGTAAGTGTGTCGGAGTCAGTGAGACTGGCTCAGGACAGGGCAGGCTTCAGAGCTTTTGTACATAGGGTTGCTATGAGTTGCAGGCAACTCAGTGGCACATGTTAACACCAATCAATGATTTTATCACCTTGACTCATCAAGTCTCCGTTGCACCTTGCCTATATTTCACACCATTCCATCTGCTAGTCTCTGCTATCCTAGTGATTTTCCCCTTCCTCCTGCTTTTGACAGTTATACATATGCTGTCCCAATTTACTAACTGCACTAGCTGTGCTGTCCTAAATCACTTCTTCCCTGGTCTTTTTCAGTGTTCAATATGTGTACATTCATCTCTCTCCATCCCCACACCTCCCACCTCTCAGTTATCTTCCTATTAATCACAATAGTGGTTTTATGCAATATTTGTCTTTTTGTGGCTGAGTTATTTCCACTAAAAGTAATATCTTCTAGACTAGCCCATGTTGTGTAGTATTTTACAATTTTTTTTTTTTTACTGCTGCATAGAAGAATAGGAATCCCAGAACACTTGATCGTTCTAATGCGAAACTTATACTTGGACCATGAGGAAGTTGTCAGAACAGAGCAAGGGAACACTGCATGGCTCAAAATTGGGAAGGGCGTAC